CAGTTTCCTTTCACACAGTGGTGTGTCTCGATTTTAAATTGTTCTGACACAACCGGTTTCTGGAGAGGTGAAGCTAAAAACACAGGGAAGGACACCTGAAGCCTGAAGGTGCTTGGAGCCAAGTCTGGTAAGGTCAAGGGTAACGCAATGAGGATTACTCTTTGCTACTGTCCCCAGCGCCATATATTGGCTGGACTAGAAGCTTTTGCCAAAGTGCAGCTCTCAAGGGCATCTTTCAGATGAAATAAAACCTCTGAAATAACAGATCCCTGTCGACCCCTATCACACCTCCTGCAGGCATTAGCAGGAATTTTTACATTCACAAGGGAGCAGACCCAGATGAAAAGAAATCTCTCTGTTCCACCACTTGCAGTTAAAACCCCACACATTTCAGTAACATGCAAGGAATTTAGGACAGGCCCTGCAACTTGAAATAACAGCCCCTATGACTCCCCGCATCAACCTCTGACAGTGCTGCTACCTCAGTTGTGACACCGAGCTGCTGGCTTTCCCTCCCTGCTTTTACAAGACCAACGTGACAGGGAGGCAGTATCTTTCCACAGCGTCACCAATACTGCCGTCTGTACTGTCCCCATGCTACAGCTCCACTCCCTGTCCTGCGAGGCAGAACGAGCATTATGGTTCCACCCATCCAGCCACTGATGTAGGATGTAGCACTATTATGTAGGATGGGGTTTTTTTAATCCTTCCAAGGTTTAAAATTATTTAAAGCCATGCTTTTGGCAAAGTGGTATCTTAGTAATGACCTTTACATTTCAAGGGTCCTGCTGAGTTCATGCCAGCAGTGCAAATCACAGCGTATTCAGGAAAGTGCCTGGGAAAACAGTCCTTCAGAATCACTTGAACAAAAAGCAAAGCAGTAACTAGCGTGTGCGAGTGCATGGAGTGTCTCCCAAAGTCAGATATATCCGTGACTCTGGGACACCTTTGGACTCTTTACCCAGTTACACCATTTCACTGGATGAGAGTTCTACTACATTTAATAGCCCCTTGTTCCTACTGTTAGTGTCCACTTGTGGTCAGGGCCAGGGACGTGATGAGAGATCACGTAATTACACACGTGTGATATCCATGCGTAACAGAGATCAATCAGTCTTTATCAGTCAATCACATCTTAAATCTGGAAATTATTTTTTAAAAATAATTATATGATAATGAAAACCATTCTATTAGAATAAATAAGATAATAAATAATTATAACAAGAATACATGCTATTTCTAATTGTATCTAATACCCACTGTAAAGTCTTTCAAATATTTCTGAGAGTACACTTTTACAAAATATGTATAAAACATTAGTCTTTAGATAGTTTTCCTTAAATACCTAAATAAACAGTAAAACTATGTATGTTCATTAATTTTAAACTATATTCAGCTGCTGTACCCACGCAAAACTGCTTTAAAACTCGTTACATAAATTCAGTGTCATCTGCCATCCACTGACACCAAGCGACCTGGAGCTATGAATGATGCAGCACTAATGCCAATTTTATTCCCCAAGATCTTTGGCAAAACTCTTCACGTTCAGTTGGTAGTTTTGGCTCAGTTAGGACTACTGAGCTCATCCCCAAGTCACTGCGGTGCATCATGTTGCACCGTAGCAATCCACAAGCTAGGTGATCTAATTGATGACAAGGTGATAAGGAACGACCCGAAATCCATCATTCTGTCCCTGGACCCACCTTGATCTATTTATCTCAGAGACTTCTGGGCTCACAGCCCCAAGGACATGATCTACACACCGTGCTATGCCAGATGCTGGGGGAGGTTTGGGGAGCACACAACTAGCTCTATATATTTCTAGGATAGTGCCGTGGAGGTTACTGAGTGCACGCTGACACACAGAGCTTTAGCACAGCCACATAACCCTCACAACTTCCTAAGTCAGGCTGAAGCCTGGCAGCCACGAAGGTAGAAGAGGCATTTATCTCCTTTTTAAATACCAGCTCTCTTCTCATGCAAAGCGACACCATCCTACCAGAGCATTTGAGCACGCGGAGCCCAGGCTTCATCACTTGCCCTGGACATGGTTTCCTCAGAGTTGGTAAAAGGAGGGCAGGAGGCAGTGGCTGCTGGTGGGTCCCCACACAACCCTCCTCCTGCCCCTCAGCCCAGGTCTTAAGCAGCCACCAAGTTGGAAGGGACACTGCAATGGGGGTTCTCCTTACCTTTAGCTCCTGCATGGTGAATTCTTTGCCGTGCTCCTTGGCACTGTTTATTATAAAATCCAGAGCATCGCTGTGATCTTCTGGGTTGTTTCGCTGCAGCTTTTCCTGTATAGCCTTCTCCATAAACTCATGTAGCATGTCCCGTGCTTTGATTCCCTGCGGGAGGCAGACATAGTTCAGGAGAGCCTTAGGAACTGCGCCCCTCTCCAGAGAGACTGGGGGACCCCCGAGTGTGGAAATCCTTAATCCCAGGATCTGTAACAGCAAGAACTATTTAATCTGTTGCCCAGCCCTAGAGCCTTGCAAGAGGCAGAAGTCTGGGGAGAACTGCTGCAAGTTCTGTTGCCTTGCTGTTGTGAATCAAATATGACAAGTCCTAAGAAACACTCTGAGAAGAATGACAGCAATAAACCCATGGTACTGAGATACCAAATCCAGAGGCATCCACGCTGAACAAAGCCATGGTCTTGTCAGGTCCAAAAGAAGCTCATCCAAAGGGACAGGAAGAGGTAACAATAAAACTGAGTCCAAGCAGCAAGGCACATTTGAGACAGGAACAAATGGGTGGCTTTACCAGCGTATAGTAGATAAAGGCACGTTAGTCACACCCAGGTCATCTCCAGTTGTGAGAGAAACACTCAAAACAGCTGAGTAAGATCTCAGCAAGACAGCTGAGAAGCAATCTCTTTGCAAAGTAGGATGGATGGAGAGCATGTGTGACACCTCCTGCAAAAGCCAGGACCAGAGATTTGGGGTGAAAAATGACCACAATGAGATGTTGGTAAGAAGATAAAAGAGTAAGGAGTTATGGTGGGAAGAACCGGGCAAAGGAAACAGGGCAGAGAGCAAGGGAAAAGAGAGAGGGACCTGAAATGCAAGCTGAAGAGGTTGGTTTGGGGCCAGACAAGCTGGGGCTGACCTGGGAGAATGCAGGGAAGGATCAGCTGGGTGGTGAAATCTCACATGGGGGACACCTTGCAAAGGGAAACTGGACAGAGAAAACAAGAGCTGTGAACTAGTGAAGAGCAGCAGGGAGGCTGCGGGAGAACTAAGACTGGGTGGGTAAAGTGAGCTAGTAGGGCAGAGCTCACGGTGGAAATAAGAGATAGGGCAAGACCTAGCTAAAAGGGGCAGGAGACTTGCGCTGTGGTAAGGGTGAAGAACCCAAAGTCAGAGGAGGGAATGCAGACTGACATGTGAGAGGAGTGGTGCGACATGGGACTGATACCTGGAGCCAGAATGTAGGGAGGCAGGCAAAGATGGGCAGGACAGCAGGGAAGAAACCGCGGGTTGAAAGAGGCAGAGGAGATGGCAGAGGAGAGGTCCCTCTGCCGTGTTTCCTGTCCAGGACTCCCCACTGTCCCTCTGTTGCTGGGGCACAAAGGACCAAGTACCATAAGAGGGTCTCAAGTCCTCAGCCTGCCCTGGGGTACACAAGAGTGCTGACCTGAGGTGTGCTGTGCTGCCTTTGTGCTCATTCTCACAGATCCCTCTGCCCTGGGCTGATAGGCGCCCGGGTGGGATGAGATGGGACAGGACCAGCCATGATAGACTAACCACAGCCCACAGAGGCAGCATATGGGGTGAGGGAGCAGGGGAGCCCTGTGCTGTACAGTGAGCTGGAGCCAGCACCCAGAGGAGGTGAGAAGTGCAGAGAGAAGGGAAGACTTCTGGGGTGGGCAAGATGCCAGGCCCTCAGACCCTCAATGCTGCAGGTGTCCTGGCCCATTGAAAGTGCCCCTTGATGGGTCTGGGCACAAGGGGTCTGTGCCACCGGGGGCCGGGCCCTGGCAGGGCAGGCAGCAGTACCTTGCGCAGCCCACTGAAGGGTATGTTGAGGGGCAGGGAGAAGAGGTTCTCCACCAGCTGTTCAAAAGTTTTGGCCAGGTCCTTGAACTGTTTTTCCTCCAGGCGGAGTCCCAGCAGAATCCGAGCTGCAATGCGGAAAGTTAAGGTTTTAGCGGAGGAATAAACCGCAATGGAGCCCGGCTCCATGCACCAGCCCCGCAGCTCCCAGCTCACAACCTTCTGGATCCGCGGCAGGTAGCTCTCCAGGGCAGCGCGGCTGAACACCCTGGCCAGGATCTAGGAGGAGGGGAACAGAGGCAGGTGGTTAAAGCTGGAGGCCCCATGTGCCACCAAGGCCCAAGCCTAGGCAGGAGGTGCCACCTGGGCTGCCTGCCCTGTCAGGGTGGCCTTGAGGCTTACCTTGCGACGCTGGCGGTGCAGGTCACCGACGGAGCTGAGCAGGGTGTGGGGACCCAGGATGATCTGGGTGCTCTGGGGCCACTGTGTGCTGACCAACGTGTGCTCGCCCAGTAGGATCTTGCGGATGTTCTCGGCGCCTGTCACCCGCACCACTGGCCGGCCCAGGAGGTGGGTCTTGAACACATTGCCATACTTCTCCCGCCGGGAGCTGTGGAAGCGGGAGCCCT